CAGCATCGCCGTAATTTAGATTCCTCACGACCAGTTCTCCTTTTTTAACTAAATATTTTGCACCCGGATAAAGCTTCCTGCTCTTGAATCGCCATTCGACACTAGGAGTAGGATTTCCTTTGACCGTGCAATAAATCACCGAATTTGATCTTTCATCTTTAGTCTGATCTGTAGGTGATATATTCAGTTGTGGAGTAGATATCGATTCTCCAGGCCTTCCAGGTGGTCTCGGCATGCCTTTTGTCCCAGGCCCTCCCTTGTCTCCCTTGTCTCCTCTCAGTCGTGTTAATCCGGTCATTCCTGTTTTTCCAGTCCTTCCAGGTGGCCCTGGCATGCCCTTTGGTCCAGGCCCTCCCTTGTCTCCCTTGTCTCCTCTCGGTCCTGTTAATCCGGTCATTCCTGTTTTTCCAGGACTTCCGGGTGGTCCTTGAACGGCTTTGCGCCCAGGTTCACCCTTGTCTCCCTTTTTTCCTCTTAGTCCGGCAGGACCTGTCATCCCTCTTTGTCCAGATTTACCAGGTGGTCCCTTAGGACCTTGAGGACCTTTCTTTCCTTTTGGCCCCCTCCTGCCACGTGGGCCCCTTACCCCAGTGGGACCAGGGAGTCCGGGGGGACCTACAGGGCATACCTTCTCACTTGACTTACGGTACTTGGTGGGCATAAGTTGTTCAAACTGTTTGCTGATTTCTTTTCGCACGTCATGTATACTGATGCCAGCTGAAGTGGCGTTCAACACTTGTCTCCGGTTTCTTGGCTTTGCTTTTGTTCTTGATTCCCCTGACTCCTCTAATGCTAAGGGAGAATTCATTTCTAAGGGGATGACAATAAAACATTGAATTATATTAGTGCGCATTTTAACGACTTGCGTATTTTGACTCTGTCACTTAGGTTGCTGACCCAAAAATCATGAGTCTCTGATGGATTAATTTCGTAACCAGTGGTAACATATACAGGGTTTGCTTCGGTAAGAGACGGACCATTAGAAAACTTATCGGGGGGAGGGGGGCGGGCGAAGTACAAAAAATCTTCGCGGAAGGGAAAATTAAATTAAAAAAATTCTTGCACGCCGATTAATCCTAAAAAATATCCATGCTAAGGCCTAAAAAAATTTATACAAGGAATTTGATAACGAAAAAAAAATTTCCTGCGGCTCGAGAATTCCCCACTCCCCTCCCCCCCCCATAACTTTTCTAATGGTCCGTCCCTAAGCTCCACGGCTGATCAAGGCTGTTTTGAGTTGCGCCCTTGTTCTTGTTGTTTTAGCCCTGTCCTTTATTATCATAGTATCCGTTTGGGGTTTCTCACAGTGCAATGTATATGTAAACCTGATCTACTAACTTTGTCTAATTCGATTATGTAGTAAAGCATACTGTAGTGCACTTGATGAGCGGTCTGCTGTCCCAGAGGAAAAGTTCAGCACCACCCGTATATATCGCCTATAAACATTTGTAATTAACCATATATTTTGTGTTAAAAACTTTTGTGCCGTATGGAGGACTGTGTTCGTCTGTACCGACCCGGCGGTCAGATCAGCTTGCAATCAGCAGTGATTCAGTACCGTGTGGCATAAAATTTTCTTTGGAATCAGTAATTCGCGTTTTTGATTACCGTTCTGTTTGCAATTTGTGGAACTAAATTAGGCGAATTTGGTGTTTGTAGCATTTGTACTATAAATTTTGATAGAACTATACAGTCTGAAATGAAATACTGAGTAAATCAATTTAAGATTTCAATACAAGGTCACTCAACTCGCCCACGTATAATATGATAAGCTTTATCTCGTAGGGTACTTCTAAAAAAGTTAGGCGGATGAGACATAATAGTCCAAAAACCCTGATTCCCAGTGACCCTATTTCAGACCCTTGGGCTGTTTAATTCTGATGCTCTTTCAAGAGCCTATAATAGAGAACATACTAAAGTTCAAGCCCTGGTTCCAGCAAACAGAAAACTTTAAAAAGAAATCATAAAAAAAAAATTGGCCCCGTGCATTCTTATAAAGTTTACGCAAAATAGTACCGTCTTCTACCCACCCCTCCCCTCCCAACCGAGCGTCAGAAAGGTATACCTGAAGTATCTTTCAACTTCATTTCATCAACCGGTCTTTGAAGTTTTCTTTAAGAGATTCTTCGCAGATTCTTCTTTTGGATTAAGCGTCTTTCTGTCACTGTTCTCCATCGCCGAGCAGCCAGTCTTAACAAGAACTTCAACTGGAGACATGTTGATGCGCGATTCCAATGCTGTCAGTCGCTCGTTGGTTGTTTCATTCTTCATCCAGAGACATCCGCAAGCAAAAAGTGCCACCACTGAAAGAAAAGATGGCCTAACTGAAGGGAGAAAATCAACGAAGCGATGGGACTTCGAAGAGTTAACCGAAGCCATTTTTCAGTGCAACTTCAGGATCGTTTGCCGTCAGTGTCGGACACACAGGAAAACGAAAGTCAGTGGAAAGTTGCCAGAATAATTTGATCCTGTAAATTCCATCCCAGATAAACACGGTATACATTACTTGGATATCTTTGTTACACAAGGATTAAAGGGTTGAAAAGAATACTCATGTACAGCAAGTGTCAATGAGAAGAATGTCGCTCACAGGTGAGGCTTGGCGGTATAATTTGCGTAATAAGGACCGTTGGCTGCTTAGGATGACGACTCTTGGAAAATGTTGGTGGTATCAGTCTGATCAGTGTGACAAGCTTTCTGAATACTCCAGAAATCGTTGCGCCGAAAACTTACGTCTATTTCCCCGGAAGCTTGTAGCTACGGGTGAAACAAGAGCTGAAAAAGACGTCTGCTCCTGCTCAGGAAGAGGTTTGCTGCGATTGGTAAAATGCTTTAAAAAAGAGTGTTTAACAAGAAACTGACACTGAACTAACGTCAGTATAACGCTCAATTAAAGCAGACACAGATAAGGCAGTTGATCACAGTGATTTAATTTTAACAAAACTGTGAGAGTTACTTCACAAGAGAACAAAGAATGTGACTGTTTGGTATAACAAAAACGTAACATAGTGAGAATCAATATAATAGCTTAGAAAATACTATTAGTATAAATAGTTTCACCACATTCTTGTAAAAGTCAACCTTACGTTACATGTGTTGTCACTCTCTCGCCGATTTAGAAACAAGAAAGGCACTCCAGTGGTGCCGAAATTGTCCCGCAATTGTTTCTGGGATCGTTACTGGTGACGCACCGGGCAGTTATTAGAGATTTTAAGCAAAGGCGTTTTTGAGAGACGCACTTCAACCGGAAGTGACGACTTTTCTCTCTAAAATTTGTATTGCTTAGTTTCTTTACACTCGGTAAAGACGATTCAACTGAACATTTGGGTAAAACCACTTCTCAGGAATCAAAAACGCCTTTGCTTAAGTTCCCAAGTTACAGTCCCAGAAGTCTTTGCGAAAGTTAACTCGGCCCAGTTTCATTCTCCCTTGTTAAGTGTTGATGTCACAGTGATATGGGCATCCCCGCGCTTTGGCCATTTCCAAAACCCTGGCGATATAGACATTCCGTATAACCCTAACCCTAACCCAAATCGCTAAGGTAATATGAGAAGGGGATGCCCATATTACTAGGGTTTTGGGAATGGGGATGCCAAAAACGCCGGAGTGCCCATATCACCGTGACACCGGATTGCTACGACAGAAAGGAAAGCGTGACTTAAACGGAGACCAACCTTGTACTGTTCTTGTTGTTGTTGCTGTTTTTTTATACCAACTGAACTTAAAGAGGTGTACTCCTCAAACTGTTGCCCTGCAACTTGTTATTTATCTAAAATAAGCAGAAACCCCAGGTTGACACTAACTGGTATGTTGAACTTACCTCCAATATGACAAACACGATTAAGATGATGTAGTACAACTTCGACTTCTTTTAGCAAGGCATTAACCAAAATTGATACATATAACTCTTTGTCGTCGATGGCATATTCGCTATGTCATCTGTTTACAACAGGTGATGTCTAAACACTGATCATGAATATAAGTAAAGATTTCACTATTTATTTTTAGTATCTCTTTTTACAAGACTTGCTTTGGCACTTTGCACCACCCTTTTTCTAGTAACAATGAAGTGATATTCTCAGCATAACAATTAACTGTTGGCGAAGAGAGGGAGAATCTTTCCTTAATTATTTCCCTTTGAAGTCTTATAATCTAAGGAATTTATTCATTTATTCCAACCAAGTCCTCCTTGCAAATATATCAACAGCTTGCCTCGCATACAATTACCCACCATAGGGTACAAAAGAATCCTATATTTTGTCATCAAAGTGTATAAAAAAAAAAACATGTCTTTTAATGAAGTTTGTAAGGACCACTGTTACTCAAGGTGTTGCAGACTGATTCACCACACACCCTCGCTTGTAATGAATCTTCGTAGCCAGAAATCGAAACATTACAGTGGGAGTCTAAAAATCCGCTAACCAGCAGGGATTTTAAAAACCATAGCAGTTAGACAAATAAGGGAAAGCACGTGACTAAGACGGGAGAGCATCAAAAAAGGATGACTAAAAGCCGCCTCTCTCCGCTGAGCTAGTGGCGTGCACTTTGTTGCAAATGATGTTAAAACTGAGTATACGTTTTACCTCAAGTTTGACTTTCTTTCCCGTTACAGTTCGGTTCTTTTTCGCATAGGCGCAGTGAATCGGCTAATGCAAGTTTTATTTTTTGTCGTAGAACGCAAAAAGCCCGGCCTGCTGGGAAATAGATTACTATTTAATAGCAGGAAAAGAACAGGAACCCCTGGAGATTTTGACAAAATGGTCCAAATATACTAGAAACTTGAAGAGCTTTTTTATATGACTGTTTGCTCCTTTTTGTTACAACATGCAGTTGGCTTCTTTCCTTTTTCACTAAAGGGCGTGGAAGAAGTTTGAAATTTTTTCAGAACCTCCAAACGTTTAAATGCCTCTTAGACCCCTCAACAAATGTTTAATTCTTTGTTCTTCCTGCAGCTCCATATTTGTCGGTGTTGGGATCATGACTCCCTAAATTCCCGCACCTTAATTATCGACCGCTCTTACTTGACCAGGCCTCTTCAATCCCATCGCTTTTATGAGCATTTTGCATTCTTCTCTGAACGTAACGTTCATGTATCCGAATATCAGAGGATTGATAATACTACTTAGCCCAACTAGGTACGTGGCAAAAAAGTATGCTTGCCTAGGAAGATCAAACGCTCCATTCGCTGTATCTATAGCTGTGATGATATAAAGAGGGGTCCAGCATACAAAGAAAGCAAAAATAATAGCAAACAATGTTTTTGTCATCAAAATATCGTCAAGTGATAGCCTATTGCTTGATATAGAAGTGACTGTCATATCTGGCGCATTGCCAAGGCGATGAACTTTAGTTTCCATGGCGAAAGAATCGTTCGTGTTGCGGTGGAGGTCTGTTCTGACGCTGTGCACCATTTTTGAGTGCTTCTTGACGGAGTTGTATAATCGAAAATAGCAAAAAGCGACGATAACCATGGGTAAGATTGTAAAGAGCAACGGAGCAATGATTGCCGAAAGTGACACCATTATGATTGACAGCAAGGTATACTTCCTTACGAAAAGCTTCGAATAAATCCGAGGACGCAGTACCCGAACGTAGCGATTGATAGCCGTCAGTGGGAACATAAGTTGAGCGATGTAAGCTAGCACGACGCAACAGAATGCTTGAAATTGACAAGCGGACCAAGAGTACCTCCACTCTCCGTAAATGCTGACATCACACATAAGCGGCATCACCAGCCCAGCCGTGAGGAGATCGGTAAGAGCGAGTACGAGGACATAAACAATTGTCATTCGTCGAAGACGATGGTTCTTGTAAGCCGCCCAGCACAGGACGCAGTTCAAAAACAAGGCTGCTATATTCAAAATCACACTAAGTAACGCTTCGACAACCACGGTAGCGTTTTGTCGACTTGAAAGAAGTTCCGCTAGGGTGCGAGTCTTTAACACGTTTTGCGACGTAACATTTGACATGTTTGCCAAAAGACGTTCTGTCACAGCAACGCGTTTACAAAGTACAAACTTTTCACTGAATCACCTGCAGTTCTACATATCTTCGGGAAATTAAAATTTATAATTGCATTCAAATTTCATTTTAAATTACAAGTCCTGCCCACGTCTTTAAAGCTATTGATAGCCTTAGCTTTGTGAAATACTAGATTGAAGTAAATAAGAGATTCGATGTCCGATTTTTTACATTCGTGTTTTACTTTTAGGGATAAACCTTGTCAAAAAGATGTATATCCTTTTATTATGTTCAATCTATCTGCCAGAACGACTGTCTCGTTTTCCCAAGGACTCTGCTGCAATTAATGTGCATTCATAGCAGGGAATTAAAATTCAATAGGTTTTAAATTGAAACAGATCCGGCAGGCTGACAGAGTTTACAATACTAGTTAAGTTACATCAGCATATTTTTTTGGAAGCCCGTTAATACGATCACCAATGGGCCAAAAAAATTTGGCCGTATTATTTACGAGCGTTTTTTTTTTTTGTGTTTTTTTTTTTTACAAGAAAATGTTTGGCGATTTTTGCCAGGCGGCCAAAAAAAGTGGCGGCGTAATAAGAAGGTGGCCGTAAGGCGAGGTTT